CAACAACAACAACATCAGCAAGTTGTTTTTTAGTACATAATTTATTTGTCTATAGACAACGACTCGACAAATGGAGCACTTGATGTCATAATAAGCTCTGCTTCTTACACTTCTCCCAGCATTTCATAAATTAAAGAAAACTTCAAAACAATATTTCAAGTGAACACATTAGAGTGGGGGGTAAAAGAGTTTTTAATTATTATTTTAATTTATATTTAAACATATTCTAGAAACATTTTCTTTGTAAGAAATAGATTAAAACTTAAAGCTAACTGCAAATAGGCTTCAGCTGAGTGGGATTCCTAGGAACAACTGCAGCAGAGCTAAGCAAAGTTAATAAATATTCATGAAATATATATAACATTTTCTAACAAATAACTGTATTTATTAAATGACTTTAGTCTAGGAATAGCTTTCCGAATAATACTGAAAATTGAGACAAAAATGAATTTTCATTTATTTGCTTTGTCGAGACGTCGGACGGACATTCTCTAATTAGTTCTCCTTAAGACTTCCCTTCCTTATAAATCTAACTCAATTGAATTAGATTTTTGCTTGCTTTGCCTGGCAAAATATCTTTAAAGAGCTTTAAGCTGCGCGCGGGTATAGAGCAACGAGCTCTTATATATAAATATATATATATATGTATGTGTGTGTGTGTGTGTGTATTCATGTGTTGCAGCATTTGCGCTGACCTTCCGCTGGGCGCACATCAAAGCCGCTGCAGTTGCCTCACATTTGGTTGGCTGTTTTTTCTTCTTCTTTCTTTCACGTAACAATTTTCCGCTATTTTTCAGTCGCCATTTTTCATTTGGTCCGCGCCTGCTAGTGTAGGTGTGTGTGTGTGTGCGTGGGCACCTAAAAACAGTCGTCCGTGTGGCGCTCGCCTGGTTTTTATGACCAGCCTGGTTTCCAACTAACCGGCGAAACGCCCAACCACGGCGACGCGCAGCCAGCCTCGACTGGCCCATAACCTTTTTGGCCATAAAGCGCGTCCTTTGCTCCACATGTATGTGTGTGTGTGTATGTGGATGGGGGCATAAATTAGCACAATCAACGTATTGTTTTCTGCCTGTGCCACGCCTACAACAGCAGCGGGGCGAGCAACAGTAGCAGGAGACGCTGGAAGCTGGAGATGGAGGCCGCATATGGGAGGTGGTTGGCTTTGTGGGGTTGGGTTGCTGGGGCAGTTGCCGCAGCGTGCAGTCAATAACATGAAAATGTTATAAATAACAAAAATACGAAGCGAGCAGACACACACAGAGAGCGAGAGAGACAGAGATGCCGCAGATGTATCTGTATCTCTGACTGTGTATCTGTAGTTGAGTCCTGCTCGAGCTTCATATTTGTGCCTGTCTGATAATTTGCGCAAAAGTCCTATTAATATGTTAATTCTTAATTGTGCTACTTGGCAAACACACACACACGCACACACACTTAGGCGCATATTAATAGCGGCAGGATAGTTTTTTCCTTTGCCAGCAGCTCGTAAATAAATCTTAAGCTGCGCGGTTTACAAATCGACGCACTTCAATTTATTTATTGTTTCTCTGTGTGTGTGTGTGTGTGTGTGTGTAGAGGGCTGGAGGCGCAGCTGAATTAATTACACATATGCGATGACATCACAGACATTTTTGCGAAAAATTCAAGAGATTTTCGAAACAGTTTTTGGCTGTCAGCGCAGCTGGTCAAGTGAGGGGCTGCAGCGGCGCGGGGGTGGGGGTTGGTGGACTGGTGGAGTGGGTCTTGAGCGTATTCGTTCTGGCTGCTTAAATTGCTGTTGTTGGCTGCGCTTTTGTGTGTGTGAGCGTGTGGCGAACCCTTTTTAGGTCGTGTCCTTTTTGCCCTTTTGTGCAGATAATTCAATTTATGAGCTGACTTTATGAAATATTCGCCAAATACACGTGAGCTCACTCTCACTCTCTCTATCTCAAATACACACATAGAGAGAGAGACCAAGAGTTAGAGCTACCTTCTGTTGACACTTGTCAGGCGACTGTCAGCGTCTGTCTGACATTTGACAGTTGCTGGCACTTTGAACACCCTTTCGATACACCTTTTTGGCCAGCAGCTGCTGTCGCTGCCTGCTGCCTGCTGACTGCTGCTGTTGCAACCCTCTCCCCTGCCCCGCTCGCTCATAATATTGCAGCAGACTTTTTGGAGCTGTCAATAAGTTTTGTATATTATTTATATTTACCTAGTTTTTGCCAGACGCGCGCGTTAATCTCTCTACACACACGCATCTAATCTAATCGCTTAGGCAAATAGTTACGCCCCCTACCCTGTTAACCCTGGCCGACACACACACACACAGAAACTCAAACACTCTCTCCCAGTCTGAAACGAGCGCGAGGCAACGCCTACAACATCAGAGCAGGTAACAAGTCAGTTTTACCTGCCCGCTAGCTGTCCACTGGCCAATCGCACGGCAGCAGCGGCAACAGCAGCTAACAACTACCAACAACAACAGCAACTGACAGCAACAACAACACATGTTTAATTCATGGAGTCAGACAGGCGGCTAATTGCGTCCTGCGTCGATTTCACGCCAATGATCGCCAATCAATAAATAAAATACCCAACAGCAAAGGCAACAAAAATGGGTATAAAAAAGCGAATGTCAATAGGCCAACGAGGGGAAGCGAAAACATATTCTTTTTTTATGTTTTTTATTGTTGTTATTATTGAAACAGAAACCAAAAGTGAAGTCAGCAATGGGCAGCGGGCAACGGGCAGCGGGCAGCGGGCAGCGGGCCACGGTCCGCCCAAGCAATCAAAAAAATTTCCCAAAAAAAGAAATATGTATATAAACATGTAATAATAATATGAGCTAAATAAAACCATGTGTGTGTGTGTGAGGACCTTGTTGTCACCCCGTCGCAGGACAATCAATTGATAAAAAATAGCAAACGAGCGGGCGGCAGCAGGCGGGGGTGGACACACGCAGCATAAAAGAACGGACAAAGGACGTGGCCAAAAAAAATAGAAGAGAAGAAAAGTTGAACAACGCCTCGGGGCGCATTAGCCAATGTGTGTGTGCATGAGTGTGTGTGTGTGTGTGTGGGCAACCGCAAATTGTTCAAACTGCCCAAACAACAACAACAAAAGCAGCAGCAGCAAACTTGACAAGTGGCAAACGACAGCGCGTCAATAAATATTTTTCTTGTTTTTGCTTTTTTTGGTATGAATGTTGCGACAGCTAATTGACAAAGTCAAGGCAGCTCGAGCAGCGGGCGGAGTTGGCATTGAGGTGGGAGAAGGCTAGACCCTAATCCAGTGCGTGAGTAGTGTCTGTGCGTGATAAAAGATGAGCAATTAGCTTAAGGGCGCAGTCAACTGTGAGGCTTAAGCGGAAAGAGAAGAAAGGAAATGGAAAAAGTCTTTAAAGTAAACATTTTGTTAAATAATAAAGATTAAATATAAATAAAACAATTTTGTTAAACAAAAGAAACGCACATTTCTTATAGATTATATTGTCATGAGGCCTCAGCTTGATCGGCATTCGAATTAGGTCAATTCCGTTTCGGGTTCTGATTGACCAATGAACACGCATCAAACAAAGTGAGGAAAACTTTGTCGATTTCAATCAAGTTTTTTGCCTGGCCCTTGTTGGCCATATGTGCCTGGCGGCTAATTTGCTGCTGCTTCTGTTGCCACTCTGCCTCTGCTTCTAGCTGTTTCCGAGGCCCTTTCTATGTGTGTTGCTGTGCTTAGTTGGGGCGTGAAGTTCTTGTTTCTTGGTCAATCAAAATTCATCGATAAATTACCAAAAGTTGCCTAGCCCCGGGGCAGGCTGCCCCTGTCGACGGCTATGCCACTGCTATGGTCTCTCCTGCTTCTGCTTCTTCTTCTTCTTCTACGACTTGGTCTGTGGCACAAACAATTGGCAGCAATTTTTGCGAGTTCATTGCGACTCGAATTAATTGCAGGCGCCTCACAAATTTTTCGGCATTTTACTGGAATTTATGTTCTCATATATCTACACACACTCGCACACACATGCAAATAGTGCTGAGCGGGGGGAGGTGTGGGCTTAGATTACATTCGATTGAGTGTGGTTTCTGCTGGGGTGAACTTACCATTTGTCGCTTTATTTGGGCGCGCGCAAATACATAAATTAAAGTGCAAGCGAATCGATTCGCGTAATACTAACCAACAAGCGACCCGCCCCAGCCCCTGCTGCCGCAACTGCTAGTAGCACGCCCTCTTATCAGCGCCCAGAGCTGTGTCCATATGTAAATAAGTGAGTAGCGGCAGTTGCGACTAGCAGCAGGAGGGGGAGGAGGAGGAGGCGTTTGGGCAGGGCTGTCATAGCTGCCATTTGGTCATGGGTGCTGCCAGCTACTTTGGCGGCGTAAAAACCCAACCAAATTGCCAGGCGTAAATTGTTGTTGCAAATCAATTGTGACACATCCAACTTAGTGTGCGTGTGTGTGTGTGTGCGAGTGCGTGTGTGTGTGAATGCCAAGCCAAATGCCAATTGCCATTTGCCAATTGCTGTTTGCTTTGTTTAATGCATAGAAACTCTGATTAGCTGAACGCAAAACTTATCGATAAGCTGCTGTAAATCGATTTATACCTTTATCGATATTGATTTTTCTAAGTGCTCAGCCAATGGCTCAGCACAATATTTCGACTTTTTCGGTGGCCTTTAATGAGAGCCTTCGCTGCGACACAATTATTCATGGCAATCGGACGGGAATTGCTGCCATAAAAGCAGCAGCAGCAGAAGTAAATTAGACAATGAGCAAGCCACCCAGCGCAGCTCATATGGTTAACTTGGCGGCGCATTAAGCCAGAATTGATGGCCAACAGTCGATGGCCATAAAAGCGAGAAATGTTGCGCAAATTTATGATCTGCAAGTGCAAAAGTGTCACACAGCTGACAGCTAGCAGCGGGTGGTGCAGGGTGGGGCATCGTAGCATCACACCGCACCACACCACACCACAATTCAATAGCCTTGACTAAACCCAAACACAAATTTGCTCGCCCATTGCAGATTCCGACTCGACAGAGAACGATGCGGTCGCCGCGCAGGACATCCTCACGTGCGGCGCATGCCAGAAGACCTTCGCGCTGTCGGACATTGTCCGCTTCATACAGCACAAGGTGTTGCAGTGCAACAAGGAGAACTATGGCCAGTGCACCACACAGGCGCCCAGCATGGATCGCGATGCCGACGAGGGCCGTCCACTGAGCCTGGTCAATCGCCGTCCATCGATATCGGCGCCAATCACAGGTCGCAAATCGGCTCCGGTTGGTGTTGCACCACCCACCGCAACCGCTGCCGCTGCTGCGGCCACAGCTGCTGCCGCTGCGGCGGCGGCTGCGGCTGCTGCTGTTGCGAGCAGCGCAGCGAGCGGCTCACGCATTCACACACCACCGCCCAGTCCAGCGGATCTGCTGGCCGATGGGGCAAGCAGCACACCCAAACGCCTGGTGGACGGTAAGTATTTGCTAAGCTGGCAGCTGACAGTTCGTCAACTAACATTTCAATACCCTTGGCAGAGAACGACAATACAACGCCCAAGGCAGACAGCGAAACACTGCCTCTGGAACCGCATAGTCCACGGTCCGGCGAGCAGGACGTTCACATTGGACGCGCAGCGATTGAGGATTGCGCGCAGCTCGACGACAAGCCAAAGGTCAAGCAAGAGCCACTCGCCGACGATGAACTTCCACAAGAAGAACAGCAGCACGACGAGGCACAGCAGCAGCAGGACCAGGAGCGGCAGCATGAGCTGGAGCAATCACAAGTGCTGCCAGCGGGCGACGAGTGCCAACAGCCACTGGCTAAGCGACCCAAAATGGAGCTCGTCGATGCCGAGGCCAACACGGTGCACACAGGTGAGCAGTGGGCCCACAGATTGTGGCATGTTTGTTATATGCGCATATTTGCGTAATCAAAATTAAAAGCCAGCAGCTCCCAGCCCCCAGCCCCTCGACCCTGCCCCCAACTTCGCTTTAGTGACCAGCGCTAAAATAAAACAAATAAAAATGTAGATCAAACGAGGCGGCAAAAATGTGCACTAAAAAATGTGTTTGAAGTGCGTGTGTGTCTGTGTGTGTGTGCGTGTGTCAAAGGATTTGCACTCACGGCTGTCCATAAATCCTTGCTGATCGGGCCGCGGGGCTGCTGAGCGCGCGATAAGCTGCAGCTGCATTAACATAACAAACCCCCCTTCGCCCACGACCCTGCCCTGCCCCCGCTCACCCATCTCACAGGACCTTTCTGACCAATTGCGCTGTAAAACGCTTTGTCCTGCGACACTGAAAAAATAGAAAAAAGCAGCTGAGAGAATGTCGAAGGACATGCAGCAAAAAAAATGGGAACGTGGGCGACATCAAAGCGCAAAACGGCTGATAAAGCTGAAGTGCAGCAGGACCAAAAAGGACACTCGGACAACAGGCGAACAGAGAGAGAGAGAGAGAGAGAGAGAGAGAGAGGGAGGGAGAGAGAGTGAGAGTGAGAGCGAGGGGCAGCTTCGATTGTCACGCGGCTGCTGCTGCCCTTTGACTTTGACATTTTTCAATGCAAATGCTGCGAACGACGAAGCTGATGAAAAGCCAAAGCCCAACGCCAAAAGACAGCAATAAAAACAATAACCAGGACTAAGGGAATGAGAGAGGCAGTGGAGGCAGAGAGGGAAGGGATAAGCCCAACAGGACACTGAACAAAGCAGCAGAAAGCAGAAGCTGTAGCAGAAGCTGTCAGCAACCACAGAAGTCGAGCTGCCCTCGAGGGTAATTTAAAGAGGCAAAGGAATGTGCGAGAGAGAGTCGGAGAGAGGGAGGGTAGAGGGAGAGGATAAAAAACCACTTGAGTGGACAAAGCACACAGGACACTCGAGTGCGAATGCGAATGTGGATGTGAATAGGACTGAGAAAGCGAATGCGAATGCGAATGCGAATGCGAACTGGATTTGACACACGCACAAAGGCGAATGCCAAGAAATAGCTGAAGGGGTTAAGGCAGGGCAAGGGGTCGGAGGTCGAGTCGGTCAGAAATCGGGACAAGCGTTGACCATTGAGGCGGTCAGCTTGTTGGTGACTTGACCAACGCAACGCGCCACGTGTCGAGCGGCTTGCAGGGGTCAAAGGTGAGACGCGACAGGCCACGCGACGGCAATCGACAGGCGTCGTTCGAGTTCGACTTCGACGAGCGAGTTGATTGAGTGAGTGATTGAATGAATCAATGAATGAGTGCACAGCAAGTGTGAATTCATGAATTACTCTCGTGACTAAAAAGGTATTCAGCTACATCTCGATGCGTACTCGGGTAATGAATACTCATTAATACTCATGTCATAAATGTCAATGCTAATGAATTCAATTAAGCTTTTGTATATTTGAATGTTTACCAGGTTCATGAATGAATACACTCATGAATGCCTATGCCATACTCATGAATAAAAATTAAATGTTGTTTCCATGTATGTATATGGACCTCAGTGGTCATCTCGTTTTATATTCTATGCTTATGAATACACTCATGAATACTCATTCATACTCATGAATACACACATGAATAAAATCGAATGGTCAGTTCAATTTGTCTGCAGCCTTATGCTTGCTCATTTTATATTGAATTCACTAGTGAATACTAGTGAGTACACTCATGAGTACACTCAAACAATCAACGACTATAATTTGTTTATTAATTATACATTTGCTGACCAGCATTCGTTGAAATTAAAGCACACTCACGAATGCACTTGTGAGTACACTCGTGAATACACTCACATGCTAGTTTTAGCTGTCTAAGTGAGTTTTTTATAGATTAACTTGCCTAAGCAATCACAACTTGACACTTGATGCGTGTCGTGCGCATTTGAACCGCGTATGTGTCTACACACATACATTGTCGCAAATTAACCCTTGAACTTTGCGCTTTTGACACGGGCAACACCAGCAACAACAGCGGCAAAAGTCAGCGACAACAAAGTTGTTTGACTCCTGACAATGCAAAACTGTCAGCACATCAACGCAGTTGCCGCAGATACAGATACGGATACAGATACAGATACAGATACAGATACAGATACGGATGCACACTAGCAGATACATTTGTATCTGTGGCTGTCACGTTAATTACGCATTGTTTGACTTTTTTCTTGCTTTGCTTTTTTCTCGCATTCAAGAGTTGCTGTTGCCACTGCTGTTGCTGTCCTCGCATCCAATTGTTGTCCATTTGGTAATTATAAATATGAAGCGACTGCTGCCATAGCTACAGTACAGACACACACACACACATAGAGAGAGAGAGAGAGAGAGCTCGCTGTGAAAAACTGTCAACAAAATGTGGGGAAAATGAAAATATTTGTGGCGCAGCGCGCGAATGTCACGAAAATTTTTTACACGCTTTTTACGCTGTTTGCCTGTCAGCGCATGTGTGTGTATATGTGTGTGTGTGTGTCATGTTAATTATCAATTTGCTGGCAAAGTTTCAAATGCACAGCGTGTCGCGACCGCAGCAACAATGAAAAACCATCAGCCGAGAGTGGGTTGAGTGAATTTTTTTTGTGGGGGTTGGGGTTGCGGCTCACAGGTCGCAGGTCAGCCAAAAGGACAACAGTGCTTGAACCCATTTTATCAATACACATCCTCAGCCACTTTCCCTCGCCCCCGCTTCCGCTGGCCTCCTCTATCCAGCCATTCAGTCAGTAGTCCGTTTTTTACATTCACCGCACTCGCATTCAATTATTGACTCATGCTGGCACTAAGCCAGGCATTAGTGTCGCCCCCTTTTTAAATATATATATGTATATAAAATAAGAGTGGCACGCCTCTCTGCCTCGGCGTCGTGCCACCTGCTTACCATCTCAATATCGAAATCAATGGCTAATGCGCTCGGCTCATGCAATTTCACGTCCACCCACAAAAAGGATTACGCGCGCGCCTTGCTTTGTGCCACAAACAACAACCAAAAGAGAAAGGAAGAAAAGAAAAGGATATACAGCGAAAGGCTTAAGCAGAGGTCGAGCCATGCAAATCGCCGCAGGAACCCGCAGGACACTCGACGGCTGCGTTGGCAACATGCGGCAAAAAGCTGCAACAATTATCCCATTACTGTGCAACCCTTTTTTTTGTGTGTGCATTTCTGTGTGTGTGTGTGTGAGTGTGTGGCTGCTGCTGCCCACCCGCTGACCTCTCGTCTTTTCCTTAGCTGGCATTGCTCATACGTGGCGTTGTCCTGGCGCACTTCCTGGCTCCACTTTGCAGCAGGCGGTCAATTTGCCATTTCCTGGCTCTAGACGAGACGACTCTTGGTCTTGCTTTGTTTTGCTCGCTTCCGTCTGAGCTGCTTTGAATGCAGTCACTCGGGTCACTTGAGCAGGCGGCTGAGGCGGTAGCAGAAGCAGAAACTGGAGCTGGAGCTGAAGCTGGTGTCCCAACTCCCGCAGGACAATGCCAGCGGGCGAGCAGCCTCAGCTCAACGAGCTGCCAAAATCAGAGCGTGCCTGGCGCAGGGCAAACAACTGACAGACCGGCAGACAGACAGACCGACAGACAGACACTTAGCTAGGCAGACAGGCAGGCAGCAGTTGTGTCTGCCAGGGCATAAAGGATGCGCGCTTGGCGCGTGCGCAACGCGCGTCTAAATATGCCTATCAAAAAGTAGGAGCAGTTGGCAAATGCCGCACGTTTTTCGACAACTTTTGCCTCGTTTTTTATGACAATCATGATGTGCCCAAATGATAATGATCCTGATCCCGAACGACAACAGCAGCAGCAGTTGGCAGCGACGTGCTAAGCCCCTGTGCAACCCCTAACCCCTAAAGAGCAACCCTTTATTTGAGAACGAATTATATGTATCTGTCAGATTCATTTGCATTTCCTGCGGCCCGCATCAGGCCAGGATTTGGGCACAAGAGATCCCCCTCCCCCTTCGCTGCTTCTGCTTAACCCGTTGATCGGCATTGTCCTTGCGCCGGGGTCGTGGCCAAATCATGTTCAGCACGCTCTCACCTTTGACAGGAAGTTAAAAAACGAGAAGCTGCAGCCGCGCGGAACGTCATAAAATAAAAAAACAACGAAAAACTAAACAAAAGAAAAAGCAAAAGTGTAGTTACCTCATCTCTCTCAGTGTGTATGAGTGTGTGTGTCTGTGTGTGTGTGTGTGTAGCTCCTGCTCAACCTTTGTGGACTCGTGCACGACATGCGTTTTCCTCCAGCTCCTCGCTCATTTTCCTTTTCATTTTCATTTCCATTTTCATTTTCAATATTTTTTAAAGCGTCATTTAAATGCAAAGTGCGTTGCTCAGTTTTCGACAGTTTCTGCTGCTTCTTCTTGCCCCAGGGGTAGTTGGCTTCTAATAGCGGCGCATTAACACCTTGTTGCCCGCATGGCCAGCGTCTGCGGTGACATGTGTTGACCTGTGCAGCAGCTTCCATCGATTAGCCCTGTGGTGGCGCGCCTGTGCCCATGGCTTCTACGTGCTAATACCCTAACCCTGACACGGCAACCAAGACGTCTAGCCTAGCTTGAACTCTGCTGCTGTGTAATAGACATAGCTAGAGATGGATTTGAGCTTCATTTCTGAGCTGTATCGAACTGATGAATAATTCTTTGAAGTATTCATTTCACAACAGAACTCTTCTAATTAGTTCAGACCTCTCCCCCTCTCTCTCTGTCTCGCTCTCTTTCTCTCTCTCCCACACATGTTTGCCTGCTTTTGTGCGCCTCGCAGATCAAGCATTTCACTTTGTCTTTAAGCTTCTTTAAAGATCTCAGTCCTCAGCCATGTCCAGTCTCGTCCAGCTTCTAGTGTATTCGCAAGTCGTTTTCTTGCCTTTTGGCTGGCTTCACTGTGGCTTTCATAGCATCTCTTTATTATTATTATTATTTTTGCTGTCTTCGGTTTATTTTTTATATTCTGGCCGTAGCAAATTTTCACATTTTCACATTTTTCATTTTAAAAATCGCATCTGTTGCGTTGTCCTCCAGCTCCCCCAATTGAACCCTCGTCGATAGTTATGGCCAAATGTGTGTGTGTTCGCTTGTAATTTCCGCCGCAGGACATGTGGCTCCTTTCGGGTGGTTTTGGTGGTTTCTGATTTTCAGTGGCATTTTACGGTTTCCAGTTTTCGGTTTCCGTGGCAAATTAACAAACGTCGCGACAAACCGCACGGCAAATCACATAAAAAAAAGAAAAACTATTACGATACATGACATGTGTAGGTGTGTGTGGGTGTGTGGCTGTGTGTGTATGTGTGGCAATATCCTGTTGTAAGGGACAGCACCTGCAGCTGTTGCTGCTGCTGATGTTGCTGCCGTGCGCGCCCATTTGTATGCTAAGCACGCCAGCAACACGCGTCTCCCTATCTGTGTATGTGTGTGTGTGTGTGTGTGTGCGTGTTGCACACAAAATCAATAAATAAATAAATTCGCCGCCGAAACTTTGCAGCAGCAAATATCTGCAACGCATCCGCCCTGCCCCGCCCACTCTCGCTCTCTGCTGGCATTTATTAATAATTAATAAGGCAAATTGCTGGCAGCCTCATTTCCTGCCAATTCACATATTTGACAGACAACATAACTAAACTACATTCTCTTTCTCTTTCTCTCCCCCTCTCTCTCGCTCTCTATCGCTTTGCAGAGCCCAGCAACTATACGTGTTCGAGATGCAAGACCCGCTACACCTCCGCCTGGCGCCTCATCCAGCACGTGCAGCACTCGCACGGCGTCAAGATCTACGTGGAGGCAGGCCTGACTGTGGCCACGCCCGCCGCCCTCAATGCAGCCGCATCGGCGGCTGCGAACGCCAGCCTAAGTCCCAATCGCAGCCTCAGTCCCTCATCGGCAGCAGCAGCGGCGGCAGCAGCAGCAGCAGCTGTTGGTATGCCGCTGCCCTTGCACGCGCTGATGGCGCAGGCCGTTGCCTCGCAGTCGCAGTCGCAGTCGGCGTCACAGTCGGCGTCAGCATCGCCAGCGGCAAAACGCAGCAGCAGCAACAGCAGCGCAACAGCAATTGTTGGTGCTGTTGGCTCAGCCAACACGAGCAGCAGCAGCAATGCGAGCAGCGGCAATTCACCCACGCAGCAACTGTTGCAGCAGCGCGTACAACAACAGCAGCAACAGCAGCAGCAACAACAGCAGCAACAACAGCAACAGCAGCAACAGCAGCAGCAACAGCAACAGCAGCAACAGCAACAGAACATGGCCACGGCCATGGCAGCGGGCATGCGTCATCATCCGCTTCTGGCTCCGCCAGAGGCGATGCACGCGAATCCGTTCCAACTGCTCCGTATGCCTCTGCCCCCGGCGCTGGCCCAGGGCAATGTAGTTCCTAGCGTGGCGCCCCTCTTTGGCCGCCCCACGCCCGCCGATCACTATCGCATGGAGCAGCTGGTCAGCGAGCAGTTCCGACATCACGGCTTCAATCTGGCTGCCGCCGCCGCTGCCGCCCAAGCTCAGTTCAATGCCACCACCCAGCAGCAGCAGCAGCAGCAGCAACCGTTGCCAGGTGTTGCTGTTAATGTTCCTAGCGGCGTAGAGCAGAGGCCGCCCTCGAGCAACAGCAGTCAACGCGGCTCAGTGCCGCCCGCTGCGCTGCCGCCACCTTCGCTCAGCTCTCAGCAGCAACAGCAGCAGCAGCAACAGCAACAGCAGCAGCAGCAGCAACAGCAACTTCAACAGCAGCAGCAACAGCAGCCGATAGCTGCCGCTGTGAGTCCAGCGGGCGCTGCCGCCGCCGCCGCCGCCTTGCAATTGGAACCGCAGCAGATGGATTTTTACTCGCAGCGATTGCGTCAGCTTGCGGGCACAACAAGCCCTGGAGCTGGCAACATTGTTAACTCGAGCTCGCCGAGTCCTAGACAGAAGCAATCGCCGCGCTTTGCGAGCCCCTCGCCCAGCTCCGCAGCCAGCTCTGTGCAGCTGACAGCGACACCGCGTCCCCACTCCCTGACGCCGCCCGAGAAGAGCGCCGAGAACGGTGGCGGACAACTTGCACAGCTGCCGGGCACGCCACGGAGCACGGCCAGCACGCCGCCAAGCAAGCCGCTAGAGGGCGAGCGCAGCGAGGCTGAGCTGGAGGCGAGCTGCTTTGCGTGCGGCTACTGCGACAAGAAGTTCCGCTTCGAGAACAATCTGATCATCCACCAACGGACGCACACCGGTGAGAAGCCGTACAAGTGCACTGCCTGCGACTTCGAGTGCTCTCACATCCAGAAGCTGATGAAGCACATGCGCGTTCATCGCAGCCCCGCCGAGGGCCAAGACGGCAGCAGCAGCAATGGCGGCGACAACAATCAGGATGGCCATGACGGCGGCAGCAATGCTGACTCCTTGGAGACGAATGAGGCGGACAACGATGACGATCCGAACCCAGAGGACTCCGACGAGGAGCTCAACGATGAGGATGTCGACGCTGACGCTGAAGAAGATGATGAGGATGAGCTAGACGATTGCGAGGATGTTGACTACGAAGCCGAGGATCTCAGCGTCAACAATCGCATCGACGGCAAGAGCCAGAGCCCGAAGACAACCAGCTCCGGCGCCACTTCGTTGGTGGGCGAGTTAATGGACAAATTCGGCCTGTCCAACATAGCTCAATACTCGGAGGCCTACAAGCAGGCGCTGCAGGAGTCTGGCCGCAAGGAGGCGGCTGCTGTGGCCGCAGCTGCTGCTGCTGCCGCTGCCGTCGACAACAACAATCGCGGCTCTTCCGTAGCCGGTGGCGCCTCGAATGCAGCAGGCGCGGCTGGCGATAAGCTGAACGGTCTGCCAGTTGCAGCGCTGCGATTGCGCGACGAGTTCGCCAAGAACTGCAACATGTTCCAGCCTCAGCCGCAGGACGGACCCGCCCAGGTGCCGCTCTTCAATCCGTTTCCCAATCCCTTCGAGCTGTCCAAACGCATGAAAATGGACGGCGGCGACTGGTGGGGCATGTCGGCGCTGCATCGCAATGAGGCGCTCTTCGAGAACTTGAAGCTGAAGCCACTCGGCTTGGGTGGCGCCAACTCGCTGCTGCAGGGACCGCTGCTGAAGAAGGAGTCGCGCCAAAGGAACGACACCTGCGAGTTCTGCGGCAAGGTGTTCAAGAACTGTTCCAACCTGACCGTGCATAGGCGCAGTCACACTGGCGAGAAGCCGTACAAGTGCGAGCTATGCTCCTACGCCTGCGCCCAGAGCTCCAAGCTCACCCGCCACATGAAGACGCACGGCCGCACCGGCAAGGACGTCTATCGCTGTCGCTTCTGCGACATGCCCTTCAGCGTGCCCTCCACCCTCGAGAAGCATATGCGCAAGTGCGTCGTCAACCAGGGCAAGGCGGCAGCCGCTGCTGCCAATGCGGCCAATGCTGTGGCTGCTGCCCAAGCAGCTGCCGCCGCTCAGCAGTTGCAGGCAGCTGCCCAGGCACAACAACAGCAGCAGCAGCAGCAACAACAGCAGCAGCAGCAGCAACAACAGCAACAGTTACCCACGCAGTCGTCGCCCTGTCCCATGGGCGTGGCAGTGGGCTTTCCTCCACAATTTGGACACAACTTGTCGCTGGCGGGCAGCGTGAGCGGCGACAATGACTCGAACGCTTCTTCCAGCCTGCCGGCGCACCCCATCTCGCTGAAGGAGGAGGCATGACTTTTTAGCAGCTGGAGCAGCAGCAGCAACAGCAGCACCCACCCGCCGCCCACGCTGCACGGCCCGCTGGCTGCACATGTGCTACAGCCGCATCCACATGCGCTGCTGCCACCTGGTCAGCAGCAGCAGCAGTTGCAACATCACCACCACCTCCAACAGCAGCAGCAGCAGCACCATCACCATCATCCAGCACAGTTGGCCAGCAGCCGCAGCCGCCTCATGTCGCGCATCTTCTAAAGATGCTGCACCTCGTAACTCGCCCCTTGCCCCTTGCCCCGCCTCCGCCCCTTGTACATATAGTGAAGCACAGTTGTCGTACGGTTATGATACAGCCCCAGCCACGGCCCCAACCCTTGCCCCCCTTGACTGCAACTTTCTAAAAGATTGCGCCAGCAGTTGTTGTTGCCACATGCAAGCATTCGGCTGCTCCTTGAAGGCGACTGACAACACGACCAGAGGCATTTAATACCAAAGCAATAACCGTTATGTAATATAATTTTAAACAAAAAAACTCAATTTTTTTTTCAACAATTTTTTTTTTATTACGTTTTATATGTGTCTCTGCTAAAGAAGTACTATACTACATACACCTATAAGAAATATATATGTGTATATATATATATATATCTATATATGTGTATATATATAAATATATTTGTTTACAATTAATTTTCACAATTTTTTTTTCAATTTTTTTAAAATATTTTTAAAATACATAATTTATGCGAAACATATGTATATTTAAATATATATAACAAATTAAGAATATATGAATGCGGCAGGACAACTGCGTCTGACACATTTTCCAGTGTATTTATAGCAATTAAGTAAGCAAAACAAAAACAAAAATTTGTATAAAAGCAAAACTAACAACAAAAAAACTAAAAAAATACTACTACTGAAAAAAAACCACTAAAAGTAAATCCAAAAAAAAAGACACGACAAAATACATAATTACTATATACTATATAGTAAACGTATATATATATATAACTCTTTTTTTGTGTGTGTTTTAAGATCGCGTATTTGTTAAACATCGATGTACATTTTAGTAAATCTAGATATCTAGGCACTAAAGAGCAACACTTGTATAAAAGAATTCTTATTAACTATAATTATTATTATATAACGATATATGAACATATGCATATACATATATATATATATATATATATTTATATACATATATGTATATATATATATATATGTATATATACCTTTTTTTTATATAATTTCGAGACATTTTTTGCATAGAAAATAATTCTATTATTAATTGTAATTAAAAAAAGAAAAGAAAAAACAAAAAAAATGGAAAGTAATCAAATTTTTTACATACATAAATAAATCTATAAATGTAAACACAATTTTTTTTTGTAAACAATTAGCTTAAGAATCGAGGAAGAAGACACAACAATTCGTGAAAAGGCAAAAGCAAAAAATTTAGCAGCAGTTGAGCATTAGAAAAGGACAGAAAACAAGTGAAAAATTAATGAAATTTGTACGTAAAACTTCAAGCGAAAAGCAATTAACAGTTATAGAAAGAAAACAAAACAAAAAAAAAAACAAAAACAACAACAAACAACTAGATTTAGAAGACTGAGGAACTTAACGTATGTATTTGTTCTCTTCCCTGGAAGAAAGAGAGAGAAAGAAAGAGAGGGTAACAAATAATACGAGAAATGAACCAATTTTTTTTGCATACATGTTTTTGCTGTTGATTTTCGTTATTTGATTGAAAAAACAAAACACTTTTAAATATATATAAAAACAACTCACATTTTGATTAATATTTAATAATTGTTTTTAGTACAAATTTATTTGGCGAGCGAAAAATTCAAATCGAAAAAGAATGAAATTAGTTTTAACTTAGTTTTTCTTTTTGTTTTTTAGTTTTTCTGCTTTCTTTGTTTTTTGTTTTGCTTTGGTTTTCAATTACCAAAAAAAAAAAAAAGAAAAGAAAGAGAAAGTAAAAAAATTTTTAAAGCAAAAATTGCTTCTACTGTTGCCGCACACAACCCCTAAAATAAACACCCCTCTCAGCCCCCACCCCTGCGGCAATAATACGAGCAATTTTTCTACTATGAAGTTTATCGTGCATAATTTATTAGAGTTGAAAGAGCCAGAGAGAGAGAGAGAGAGGGAGCGAGTGAAAGAGCAAGCGAGAAGAGAATCTTTTAATTTTTTGTTTTTGTGAAATTCTTCAAGTGAATTGTGTTTCAGACAAGACAAGACAAGACAAGACATATACATTATCTATATACCTATATATATAGTTCATATAGAGAATCAAGAAAAATTGAATAAAAATGCAAATATTATACAAATCATACAACACTTATGTTTTATTTTCAACTCAACAAGAAAAACATTTTCTTTATTTCAACATTTTTTTCTTCGTTTTTTAACAGCAACAAACACAAAAGTTTCTGAATTTGAAATCGAAATTGGAAACAAAAGAAACCCAAAATTGAAAGCCCAGCAAGCAAGCTAAAAACTATCATAAAAGATTAGAAAATTTAATTGTAGCTATAAAAAAAAACTTTATACTAAAATAAAACAAAAACAAAAACAAAACAATGCACAAAAGAAATACTTAAATCGCAGCAGAAATAAAAAGAAAAACAAAAACAAAAATCAAATAAAAACTGTTGCAAGCAAGCGAAATGTGCAAATAAAAAATTTATAAGTAAAATTTCGAAAACAAAAACCAAATATTTTTCAAGTGTGTGTAATTTTTTGAACATAAACAATAATAAATACAAAGCGTAAATTAATAATTAAAATAGTTGTCTGTGTTACAAAATACAAATATAAAAAATACATACAAATTAAAAAAAAAATGTAAAAGAAAAGAATGCATTTTTCATTTTCGATCTCGTGCCATAAACTTTATAGCAACGCACAAAGCTAGGCAACAGTGTGCAGCGAAAAACGATCGTGTAAAAAAATCTTTGCATACTTTGCAGCGCGCACAAAAATCCGCCAGATGTCGCCAGTTAAACGCATGAAATGCAAATTGCTCGCACACAGCCATGCCAGACACAAGCACACACACATACACACATGCATGCATGCCAGTCAGCTCACACATGTCGTCTGCTCTGCCGGCGTCTGTGAGCGAGCGAGAGAGCGCGTGTCCAAACATGTGCTTCTTACTGCTTGCTGTGCTGCCCAATGGGCCCCCATTGGCCGTTGGCCATGTAAACACCCGTAGCCGGACCCCATTTTTACAGCCCCGCCAACCCGCCGTGCCCCAAATAGCACACTAAACTCGACCAGCAGTGACCAATCCAACATAACTGGCCGGCCCAATTGGCGGGGCGGAAACTTCAATTGGAATTGGCATTGGAATCCAACGACTGCGACACGCTCGGAGCACACATGTGGCTGGCGCATGTGTGGGCCAGCCCAAGCCAAAGCCCAAACTGTAGCCGAAGCCGCTGCCTGCGCTGGCAGCGCTGTCGACGTCGCTGCCCGGTCTAGCATTGCCAACCCCCTGGCCGAGGTTGTAAATGACTTGTGGCCGGCTCGAACATGTGCGTCGAACATGTTCGCTCGCCTCAGGCAGGTTCGAGTTGCACCAAATTGTTTTTATTTTTCTTTTATCTATTTCACAAATTTATTAAACTTTGGACATATTCTTTCGATTTATAGGAGACAATCCTAAGAGACTTGACTTTGCACACTTCAAAATTTCTATCAAATTGAATACAAAATTTAATCCAAGTGAATATAAATTAATATATAGCTGAAAAAAGTTTAGAAAGCAAACATAAAATGGAAAAGTGCTAATTGATTATCAGGATAAACAGCAAATATGATGATATCAATAAGAATTTTTAACTTATGTCTAAAGTGCTTGAGGAAAATAGTTTTAAATTGATTCCAAGGCTTAATTTGAATTTAAATTTGAATTTCTATAGCTTTACAACAATTTGCACAATTTTTGCAAACATGAAATTAATAAATTCTTTAGGCTTCAGTATATGGCCAAAATGTTATTGCAAATACAAATCTTGAAAAAAGTAGGATTAACATTTAAAAATTTAATGCACAATTATTATATGGAATATAGATTGGTCTATAAATTATATAAAGAAGGGGAGGAAAATGGCAAAGGGAACAAAAGCGTAGTCGAAAGTCTAGAACTTTATTCTATTTATAGAACTATAAAAGCGATGGGCTAATCGGTCTCAAACAATATTTAGTAGTAAAAGAGATAAAGAGGAGTAAATACTGCAAAAAGAGAGAGTGCTGGAAAGCGTTGAGCTAATTGAACGCAAAAGATCAAGTGAATTACATGCAGAGGTAATGAGGTCATTTAAAAACTGTTTTCTAGAGAAATCCATTTGCCAAGCATCCAATAGAGATAGATGCAAGAGCTAATTGCACGTGCCTTGTATCCAAGCTGAGAACTAAAATGAAGGACTACGACTGCTATGGAGCCCGGTGAGCAAATAAAGGATTGGTCTTGGAGAAATCTGGGATGCGAGACAATTCGTGCAGAGCGAACAATTCAAGTGTGTGTGCCTGATACTCGTATATCACGGGTAGCCTACACCCAGTGTGTGTGTGTGTGTGTGTGTGTGGCCATAAGGGTGAAACTTTTACTGCTTGCTTACAGAGATTCTTTTCTGATGATAAATTAATTTATTATGTTCGAATTGAAGCACTCGCAGCCAGAACGAGAAACCGGAGTCAGAGTCAGAGTCAGAGCCAGAGCCAGGGCCAAGGAAGGAGACGCAGACGTAGGCCGAGACATAGACAGAGACCGAGCCAATGCTGTTAATGTGAGCGGATGTAACAGCCATTGCCAGGCCAGGACCAAAGTTATGTAAATGAATATATATATACATATATATATTTGTGTGTGTGTGTGGCACACACATATACGTGTGAACTGCCTCAACTTTGGAAGCAGAAGCAAATGCGGGTTTCAAGCGTGAGTATGAGCCGAGTGTGTGTGTGTGTTTCAACCCTATCGCAAGTGTGTAAGCAATTACAGCAACAGCAACAACAACTATGGAAATAATGAACAACACCATCTGACCACTTGAATAATTTGGAAAAGTGGCGGGTGGCCCGAGAGACCGAGAGCCGGGTGATGTTTTAATTGAAAGCATCGCCAGCATGGCGGACCAAATGTGACAAGGACAGCGACCACCCAACACCCTAAACCCTTTTACCCCACCCCCACAGCCAGTTAACCAAATATGGCGGCGAGCGTCCAGGGAAAATGCGTTGATTACTGAACGCACAGAACTCAAATTCCCAGAATGTGCACGGTGCGAATCGAGTCGGTTCGAGTGTGTGTGTGGACGTTGGGGCAAGGATGGCTCCAAGGGATACAGGCGCTGGCCACTAGCAACGGGACGCGCCAACTGGCCAAGCAAAGAAACTTGCTGGGAAAGCAAATAGAAAATGGCCAAAAACGAATTCAAACTTCGAATCGGATTTTGTCTTGGCCATTGCCATGG